CTTAGGCCAAACACATTTTTACCAGTCCTGGTTAAGTAAATAACTCAGAACTCTAGCTGCTATTGCTGTATTTGCTGGATGGCCTAGACCAACGGTGTCAAACTCAGGTCATCACGGCGTCGTCACATGACGTATCGGGACTTTCTCCCCCTTTGCTAAACCAGGTGTGGGCATGGCCAGTGCATGATGCATCTGGCCCGCGGGCTGCGAGTTTGATGCTCCTGGCCTAGACCCTTCTTGCGCAAGAAGAATGAAATATTTTAGGAAATATTAAAAAGGCAGAATATTATGTTTTCCTGGATAAGAAAAGGAGAAATGTGTTTTTAAAGACAAAGCAGCTTCCTGCAGTTCCCTTCAGCTCCAGGGTGATGGTATTAAGACATGTCCTTCAGGATATGATAGGCTTAGCCCTCTACCCATCTCACCACATGGCACCTGGGAAGATTACATCACCCAGCAAGGCTCAACCAAGCCTGGGACTCAGGACAGCCTACAGAGTTGCCCCTGCATGGCCCCATGGGAATCTGACAACCAATCAGAATACAACCTCAAATTCAAAAGCCCAGAGAGGGTATAAGACTCAGGCACTCTCAGCATCTTTCCCCTTTTTTTCTTCACCCAACATCATCAAGGCATGTGATCCTGTCCACCATTAAAAACCATCTTTCCAAGTAATCTCCATGTTTCCAGTGTGTTTTTTCCCACTTAGAATTGAACCTAGATGGACATTTCTTCCAACATGCAGACAAAATCCCACCAATTTGTAATCATAGTCTTTAATTGCTGCACAACTCCAGCAAGCTCCTAAGGGTCTGATGCCCTATTTGTTTATTTATTTGTAAAATTTATTGACTGCCCACCTTACCTCAGTGTAACTCTGGGAGGCTTGCAATCATAAAAGATAAAAACTGTACAAAGCTAAAAAAATATATTACACAAAGCCAAATACTGAGGCCCAATTAAAAGATAGGAAGGCAGGAGCAGGATGGGGGTGGGAGTGGGATCCATTATTAATCTATCAACCATCTTTATTGTGATTCTCCTCCATTGGAGTTCCAAACTAACTGGCAGACCCAAGTCTTTAGGATCTTACTAAAGGTAAGGAAGATTGGAACCAATCTCACTGGGGGAGGGGGGAGGGCAAGATATTCCAAAGGGCAGGCACTGTTCATCTAAGAACTTTCTAAAAAAAAAAATAGTATATTTGCTTTTAACTTAACTGTGAAGAAGAATTCAAAGGCATGTATCTTGCCATGTATTGTGCAATCACTTAAAAGTAAGTGGAGTCTATGAATTAAGATATTTTGAGGATTCAAGGATTGGGGTAGACAACGCTTGCTCTGAATGAAGCTGGTTTGAACACTGCATCCCCTTGCACTAGTGATAATTGCCAGCATTCATATGTCACCTGCCTCCAAGAATCCTTGGTATTAAGTAGAATGATCCTCATTCTAGCTCCTTCCAGATCAAGTTTTTTTCACATTATCTGATGTAGTTTGTAAATAATACAGCTGATACCCATAAAAGTATCTGCTGGAGCAGTTTATCAGCTTGAGAGGAGCTGATATTTAAGAGATGATGAGTGTGTTTAATGAACCAAAGGCATTAATACGTATAGCTTTGAGATTGATATTGAATTAGACAATACCAGGTTTAATCAATCAAATTAATACTTAAGACACATTGATTTAAAAGGAAACTCAAAAACTAATTTACAAGGCATTCCTATATTCAAAAGTGGGTCCTGTTAAAATCAGTTAGGTTTATACTCACCTCTGTTCTTGTTATTGAGCTCTTAGTACTCTCTGAGCTTTGTTTTCTTTTTGCAGATATTTCATTACCATTGTAGGTAACATCATCAGTGCTCTGACATGGGGAAATGAGGTTGTTAACTGTTTATATTTAGCAGCTTGTCCTACCATCCTTGAATTGTAGGCTTTTATGCAGAAAAACATTAGGGAGGTTTTCCTAAATATGAATTTCTCCCATTTTTGTTCATTTTGCACCCATGCTTTGTTGCTGGTGAAGAACACATATAGCTCAGGGAGAGTTCTTCACACATGTTTGAGTTCAGCTCTTATTATCCATAGTCAATGTGACTACTGAAGGAACTGCCATTCATAGCCTGCATGAGGCCATTGTTTTTAATGCTTTCTTATAATATTTTTACTGAATTGTGACAACATAAATTAATTACATAAGGCTTATACTGTCACAGGACACTGATTGCTGTGGTCAAATTTAGTCTGTTGCTGTTATCTACAACTTTTACATACTTTAAAAGGGCATATTTTGTTCTCTTCCAAATTTCCTTTTTTTTTAAACAAAAGAACAATCAATGCTTGGGATTAAACCCAAGATCTTCATGAATTCCATATCATAGAAGAGAAAGAACAATGCTAACTTTAGTTTAACTTTCATTCATTGAGTTGTGACTTGAATGGTTGTCCTACTGATATAGAGTAACTATTGTATGAATTGCTTTCTTGAAGTTACTGGAAACATGCAAATATGAAAAATAGCCCAGAGCAGTTTTTTTTTTCCTCTCCTCCACTTTATCCCTTCTGTTTCATTGCACTGAACTCAAAGTCTGCCAGGAATGCAGACAAATTATTTTGTATTCACCTCCTCTTCACCTCCACATGCTTGTCATAAGATATAACTTTCTGAGTGAGAGGCCAGAAACTAATTTGCAAAGCCCCAATCTTTCTTTCTGATGGTTATTAAAGGTAAGGTAAAGGTTCCCCTTGCACATATGTGCTAGTCGTTCCCGACTCTAGGGGGTGGTGCTTATCTCCGTTTCAAAGCTGAAGAGCCAGTGCTGTCCAAAGACGTCTCCGTGGTCATATGGCTGGCATGACTAAATGCCAAAGGCACATGGAACACTGTTACCTTCCCACCAAAGGTGGTCCCTATTTTTCTACTTGCATTTTTTACATGCTTTCGAACTGCTAGGTTGGCAGAAGCTGGGACAAGTAACGGGAGCTCACCCTGTTACGCGGCACTAGGGATTCGAACTGCTGAACTGCTGACCTTTTGATCGACAAACTCAGCATTTATTACTTTATTACTTATTACTCCCTTTATTACTCTTCAAACAACCCCCAGCCTTATCAATCCATCCCAAAGCAGTTTCCAACTCATAGCTGAAAGTACTGTTACCTAGATCTCTGATTCCTCCATTGTCCTTCTTCTCTACAGCAGTGGTGGGTTGCCCCCGGTTCACACCGGTTCACCCTGACATCACCAAAATGCTTCTGCGCATGTGCAGAAGAGTGCGCGTGTGCGCGAGCAAAGGTCATGCGTGTGCGCGGCCCCATTGCATACCGGTAGTAAAGGTAAATAGAACCCACCCCTGCTCTACAGGATTGTATACCAATAGCAGATTCTTCTCCAACCTCATGGCTTAGCAGTGTTGGGAATACAGTTTGTGAATTCAGTGTGGTATATGGATAAAATGTTGGACTAGGAGTGGGGGAGACCCAGTTTCTAATCTACCCTCAATCAGGGAAGGTCCCTGAATGACTGGGTAACTATTTTTTTCTCAGCTCAACCTATGTCACATTGCTGTGGGGAAAACTAGGAGGAGAAAATACATTGTATATTATGTAAAAGCCCTCCTGAATAAAAGGCAGAATAATAAATCAGATCATTAAATGCAATCAACTTATAAACTGCTTCAAAATGTAATAATTTGGCAGGGTGCATACAATTGGATTTAAGAGATAAACTCCTAAACACCAAGTCAGGGTTCTATAAAAGCAGGATTTGAGTTACAATAGAGTCTCTGTAGGTCAAGGCTGAGTTCCCACAGGACTAGTTAATTAACTAGATATGAGCAAATTGTAGGGAAACAAAAAAGATAGTAGGACCATCAAAGCTTTGATGTCCAACATCCTTTTTCAAAAGATGAACTATCCCCCAAGCAATTTTATTCTTACAGTGGCTTCAGATGGGTTTGCACTGAATCTTATTTGGGTTGCTTAATCCATTTTCTTAATTCATATAATATATTAAACCATAGTCCAAATACATTATTGTTTTTGACAACACACTAAGTACTCCCCCAACAATATAACCCAACCCCCAAGCAAGATTAAAACTTGTAAAACTTGTAAAAGCTTGTAGGCTAATCCTTAATAGGCTAATTTTCTTTCTTGTCGGAACTTCATTTGCATGAAATACAGCTGGGCAATAGCACTGAACTTTACTTCAGGCTCCAGATGCAGTGCTCAGTTCCAGCAACTGAGTTTTAAGATCCTGAGATTTTGACCTGGAACATCCCCCCCACCTTAGATTTGGAATTTCCTTGCCATGAGTCTCAGACCTAGCTTGAAACAGTTATTAATTTCATTCAAGATCCAATACTACAAACCAGTAGTGGGTTGCTACCGGTTCTCCCAGGTTCGGGAGAGCCGGTAGTGGAAATCTTCATAGTAGAGCGAACCGGTTCGCTCTGAATGTCATTTGGGCCCTCCCCCCTGCCCACCCACTATACCTACCTTTATTTCGTTTGTTTTTTTGGTCAGCTGTAAGGTGCGGCAGAGGGGATTGCCATGCCTCAGCTGTTTTTTTTCTCAATGCGCTTGCGCGAAGCGAATCGGTGGTAAAACTGATTAGAACCTACCACTGCTACAAACACAATTTTTTTCATTGAAGAAACATCTTCTTAGTCTTGATTATTTAAATGTGTGCATAGATCATTTACAAAATGAAGAACAATGTGAATACAAAAAGTTTTATATTCATTTACTTGCTTTTCTGTTCTACGAATAAAGGTTGAAAAAAGCTTCCTTTATAAGCTAATAGTGAATAAAGTACAAATACTTTATAATACTTTAAATACGGTTGCCCAATTTATAATCCAGACACTTCATAATATAAGGGTGTCTGTGTGTATGTGATCCATTTTCCTTCCTCCCTCCACCTCCCTCCTTCCCTGCACTTGAAGCACAGGATGATTAGAAAGAGCTTTGTGAAGTCAGAATATTGCTAGTGGCTGTTAAATGAGCACCAGCATCCAAGCTGGTAGTATCACATGATGATTGACCTAAGAATTTTTGCTTCAGTTGTATTTGTCAAGAATGTAATGGACACTTGTAGATTTGTAGATACTGAACTCATCTTCTCTGTGATTTTTAGATTCCTGAAGTCTCTCTTCAGGAAAATGCTAACAGCTTAGAGTTTCCACAGGAGACAGATTGTGCTTGTATCTTTTTCCTTTTGTGGACTTGAAGAAGGTATCAAGAAATCTACAAGACCAGGTAAAATATTCTCCCCATTGAAATATTTTTTTCATCATCTGAGTGACAAATTATTGAAAGTGTATGATTAAAACATTTGAAACCAGTACCCGAGGACACAATTTGTCCTAATTTCTCTTAGGTTATTGGAATACCATTTATTTATTTCAAGTGAAATTTGGTTTTAATGGTTTAGGATCAATTTCTATATATATTAACAATCTTTCATTGGTCAATTTGTTATGTAACATTTTGGCAACTTCTGCAAAACGACATTGCCAAATGGTAAAAATAAATAATTACACTGTACTGATTCATATTTAAGAAATTAATTGCTTTTCCAAATTGGTACTGGAACCAATGTGATAAAATTCAGACATTATATTCTTTCTTCATATTATCTAAGATAACTCAATAGAATTATTTTGAACAGTAAATATTTTTAAGTCAGCTCCCAGAAGTAATAGTTTTAGTTTATTGTTGCAGAAAACTAAATACCTCATGACATCATAAAGAATAACACATTATTATGGCATGATCTTGCATGAGCTATATCTACTTCAGCAGATGCATAAAGTCTTAAGGGGCAATACATATATGTCCATACATATATACAAACCAGAGGTAAAAACAAAACCCTGGCTTTGGTAAGCTGATTAAATTTTCTAATGTGATGGGCAAATTTGACTTCAATTTTAGCTTTGATATTTATATCTTTTTTACGAATGTGTCCTAAATGGTTATACTGATAAAAGTAATAGTTAAAGTATTCCAGTAGCTGTATCTTCCGTGGTCAATGAAATCTTTGGATACCATGTACAGAGTTATCATTTGCTAGACTAGCACATAAATTTCTATATTTAATATTTATTGTCTCTCCTAATGTTAATTGTTCATTGGTAAAATTAAAATATTAAAAATAAAGATATTATATTTATACTGGATTGTATCTAGCATAAGATGAAATTAAACTTCTGATCTTTACATCTTTGGTACTCTAAATAATTAAAAATAGTGTTAATGGAAAAAGTTACAGATAAAATGCATAACATACATGCATAACAAACTATTTTAATCCAATTTGTGAAACATTCAGATCCAATTGACAGACATATTGTCTTCAACAGTAATGAAAATTTTGTGGAGTTAAGATGAATGAGCTTTTCAAACAGTGGGATTTAGAGGGGAACTCTCAAATCCACCCTTTATTTTGGTTAAAATTTCTCTAGAAATTTTGGAATATTTTAAATGTTAATATGGTAGTTTTAATTATTCCCAATAACAAAAAAAAAAAAATTGCTAGTAATTTCGAATCTTCCTTATTATTGTATTTTTCATACTTAACAATTTATTAAAGAAGCTTTAAGATATCTTAGGTTTTCTCTAGAATTATAGCATCTGCCTTTATGTTTTAGTTTAGTTTGTTCTATCTAAGTTTGTATGTAATTTAATGGAATCCGTATTTCAAAAAAGAAGCAATGTAAATCAAATATAGTCAATCTGCACGGCTTTATTTGATAAAAAATTAAGATATTTAGCAGCATGAATACATTCTTATTGCATTACTGGCCTTTGTAATTATCTAACATCAGTTGCTTTAGAGCTTTTAATGATTGAGGGCTATTTCTGAATAAGATGGGTAAGAAAATAAGACAACTGAATAAGTTATATGGAATTGTAAGCATCCTACAATAGTTCTATTTTTTGTTTGAATTTCAAAATAGTTGAATTACTCTGAATATTACCTATACTGGTGACAAATGATTTTCACCTGAGTTGTTAAAATTCAGGCAACTGTAAAATTTGTCACAGAGTTTATGACAATGGAGTTTAGAAGAGAAACAGAAGCTTTTTGCTGATATTGAAGTATATTCTATTTTTTTCTCTAAAACAATACGTTTGAAGACTGACTATTGTTCTTGCATGTTCATACTGTCATCTGCTCCATATGACTGCACAAATACTGAAATTAAATATAATTGGTGAATATATAAAATTTAATATGTTTTGAATATTAAACATTCAGCAAAAATTGGATAATATTTGATATTAATAATTGGAAAAGAAAACAATTAGGAGAAAGTTTGAAAATAAACCCATTCCAGTTCTGTCTTTGATCTAAAAATGGTTTCAAGCCTGCTTAAGAAACAATGACAATCTCTAGTCATAGGAGAATTATTCACATGAAATGATTTTTTCTTTGAAATTCTAAAACTTTTTCACCATTCCTTATTTTGATACATATTAAAGCATTTCAGAGTCCTTGAGAACTTGCCTTAAAAAGAATGACATACTGCAATTCAAAATAAACCAAAGCAATTGCATTTTTAAAATAAGACAACAGATTTATTTTTTATTTTCTAATAATTGTACAGGTCACACACATTATTTGCCTTATTTTTAACCAATTTAAGCAGTGGGACACAAGCTTTTGAATTTAGATCAGTGGGAAAGAGAGCAACTAGAGTCATTTCAAGATCTTTCTTCTTGGGCTGCTTATTTTTTATAGCCATTAGTACATAAACCTATTTTGGAAAAGTGTGTTGATGCAAAAGAATGATTACAATCTTGGGATAAAGAAGGATAAGATTGGAAAAAAAAATATTTAGCAAATGAATCAAATTCAAATTCCAGAACCTGTCAGAGATTGGGGGCCATTCCCATTCATGGACTTTCATAATTTCAGACAAACACCTTTTGTCCAAGAACAACGAGAACATTAAATCATGACACGCCTAGTAACATCTAGACAGCAAAAATTTTAGTCACCAAAATTATTCAAAGGACCAAGATATAAATGCAGGATGAGATGTGGGAAAGCAATCCAAAGATATGACAGTTTGGGATAAAACAGAATTGCCAAAACAAACTCTTGTTGTGTTTGCTGTTTGCACAAATGCTGCCTTTATTTGATTTCCTTTTGGGTTTCTTCTATATTACTCCTTGCACTTTGGGTGCAAATGACCATGCATTATTAGAGTTCCTGATTAAAACAACAACAACTACAAACCATGGATTTTAGAAAGGCTGATTTTCATAAAGTGAGGCAAATAATAAGGAGCATGTCAAAGGAAAAAAACCAAAGGCAAATGTGGTGTCTTGGTGAGGACTTCTTGAAAAGGGAATTTAGGATAGCAAAGTCTCAATAAGGAAGAAAACTAAGAGACATCTAAAGAAGCAATGTGGTTGAATAGGCAGCTCACAATAATGTAGCATTGAGACAAAAGGTGGATATTCATTGGAAATGAAAATAGAGCTAATTATCAACCAAAGCGCTGAAGATTTGGGTTATAAATATAGAAATATAATTATATATAAATCAGTGGTGGGTTGCCCCTGATTCGGACCGGTTCTATAGAACCGGTAGTAAAACTAGCGGGAGGCTACGCCCACCGACCCCGATGTCATCAGGAAGCTTCTGCGCATGTGCAGAAGAGTGTGCGTGCATGCTTGCTTCGCTCGCATGTGGGCACAGCCCCATTGCAAACCAGTAGTAAAGATAAGTAGAACCCCACCCCTGATATAAATATAAGATTAGGAAAATAAAGGTGGAAAATGAGCTAGGACTTGCAAACGAGAAAAATCCAGAAAGAGGGTTTTCTTCAAATACGTCAACTGGAAGAAGAAAACAAAAGAGATAATAAATTCACTGCTTAATCCAAATAGGGAAATCTTAACATATGACCAAGAGAGAGTAGAGGAACCTAACGCCAATTCTGCATTTGTCTTTACGAGGAAATGAATTGGGCAGGATATAGACAGGATAGGTAAATTTAAGTAACTTAGCAGATACAGAGACTAGTCTAACCAAATACATTACCGCATTTGCTTTTGTGAGCAACAGCTCTCTTTATTAAATGCAAATAATGGATTTGCTATTATAGGATTTTAAACATAGAGTAGAAGAGGGGGAAGGGATGGAAAAAAAACAAGGTGAGAAGTTAATGGATTTACATAATAGTGGAGATTGAGAGAAAGGCTGAACATTAGTTTATGCATAATGGGTTAAGAACCCACTGTTGTTGTTCAGGTCTTCTGTAATGGATTTGATTATTTTTTAAAAAATGTTCTGTATTGTAATTCGGTCTGCAGAGTGGGTGATGAAGTTTCTCTTTGAGCCACTTTAGTCATGAAGTATCCCCGGAGGCTGAAATGTTGTACCTTTGTCTTGTCACTGTGTGGTGCTTCCATTTACAGTATGTCCAATTATTCTCTTGCACAGAATAAGACTAGTTTCTCCAGTTTAAAATCTACAGGAGCATTATTAGCAGATGATGACATACAATATATCATGTTAGAGCAGTGCTTTTCAAACTTGGCAACTTTAATATGTGTAGATTTCAGCCCCCCAAATTTCGCAGCCAGCCAGCATGAAAAACACCATTTTAGAGAATGAGCATATTAAGGTGCCCTTAACAGTAGAGGTTGGGGCTTGCTATGGTGTTGTTAGCATAATTATGGGGCAGAGTTGGCATCTGTCATGAACCACAATTCAATTTCAGAATCTGATACTCTGATAACATTGCTTCAGCTGAACTTGTGGATTGTCAACCTCGGGAGTCTTCAAGTCATGATTTGAGGAGGCTGATCAACCATAGGCATCTCCTGATCAGCTGAAGCAGTCGGATGATAAGTCATGACCTCAAAACCCCAGGCCTCCCCACATTCAGTGATGATCAGAGCAGCGCTCTCAATGAGACTCCTTACTACACAAAGGGCAAGGCCTAAAATAATTTCAGCTAGTTGTCTGCAGAGAGATTTATGTAGCTACTTTGTCTTCTGCCTTTTTTTGGAAACAACAGTTCATGATACTTGTTCTTGTCTTACCTCACTCTTGAACCCTTGAGTAATGGAGCAGCTAATTACCAAACTCAGGTTTTGAAACTTCAAAAAAAAAAAAAAAATTGGACTACTCTATTGTTGCTTGAATTTCAAAAGGATTTATTCAGGCAAACACTTTTGTACAAACCTTGATTTATGATCTTTTTCTTCTGTTATCTGCTTAGTAAATAACTCAGCTC